ATTAAAACCAAAAATAAAAATTAGAATATGCCATTTAAAAAAGGAATTTCAACAGATCTTATTAAATTACTTTTTACTATTGAAAAACTAATTTCCAATAATGAATTAGTTAATTTGAATAATAATCTTTTAGATTTTTAATCTAATTTATAAAATTAAAATTTAGATCTTTTAGAGATTATTTAATTAAGATTAATTTAAAAAGTTTTCAATAAAAATGATTAAGGACATTTCTTATAAATGTTGTTCATTTAAAAATTGATTGATTTGGAAAAAGCCAATAATAGCTAAGAAAATAATAGCATCAACAATCACAAGTCAATTAGCTTCACACTTTAAAAAAGCGATGTATAAGCAAAATCTCAAGAAAATAACGAAAAAATATAGCTGTAAGATATTGAGTAAGTCATATAGAACCTGTTTAAAATGCCAGAAACAAATGAATTAAAAAAATAAAAAAATTAGGAAATTTTAGCAGAGTTATATGAGTTTTATTAATCAAATAAGGTTGAGAGTTTAAATTAAATAGTAGAATATATAATAAATTACTAATAAAAAGAGAAGAAAAATTTATAAGAATAAGATCCAATAAAGTAATTATTAGATTTAGCTTAAGAGTTATGGGATTAATAATCTAATGTAGAAAATGAAAGTGAACAATTTTCAGAGGAACAACTAAAAACAAAAATAATTTTAATATTGGAGAAGTTTTTTGAAAAAGCTATTGCATAGGAAAAGCTATAATAATTGTAAGCTTGCATAAAAACTATTATATCAATAAAAAATAAACGTTTTCCAGAAATTTCAACTGAATTTTATTAATTATTCCAAATAGATGAATTCAATAGAACAAATATCACAAATTTTCTGTAGGATTTTCTTAATTTAACCCAAATATTTACGAATTTGATAAATGAAAAACTGAATTCTATGGTTAATTTAGATTTATTCAGCTATTACAAAAATGTAAGTAATGCCTAAAAGAAGATTGAAGAAACCATTGATTTAAGCTATCATGATCTATTTAAAATTCTTGATAAGCAAGGCAGGAGAGTTGTAAAGCCTGAAGATCTTTTATAATTTTTGAAAAGACTTCATATCGATATCACACACCATAAATTAAGAGAAATGTTGGTTAAAATTAAAGAGGAAGTAATAAATATGGAAACATGTTTAATTGATTTTTATGAATTCAAAGAAATAATGTAATAATTGAATAAATACTCCTTACTTCTTAGTTTGACCTATCTTGGAATTTCAAAGTAATAATTATTTGTAGCATTATTGGTAACGGTTATCTATTTAGGACTTGTACTCACATTTATTTTAATAGGGGTTTAAGCTTTAGCAATTCCTGGTACATTTGCAGCAATTATTAATGCTATATTACCTATGATTGGAGGCTTTGGATTAAATAAATAAGCAAAAAATAAATAGATTAGGGCAGTAAATTAGAATACAATTATGGAATCTGTAAAGAAAGCTATCAAAATTATATCTGAAAAAAGTATTTGAAAAATTTAAGCATATTAATATTAAAAAAAATAATATCTTTATAAATATATATATTTAATTTTATTTTTAGTAATTAAACTATTATAAATAAGATATTGTTAAAATAACCAAATAAATAAGAAAAGTACTTTATATACATTTATAAAATTTACAATAATAAGTATGTTATTATTTTATTTTTAATTAAAAGTCAAAATTGATAAAACAAGTTAAACCAAAATTTGAGAAATAATGCTATGATTTCAAGGCAATATCAAAAATCTAAAATTACCAGCTAATAATTAAAAATGAAAGTTATAGCTAACATGCTATAAAATTTTTTTAGTTACGAGAATCTTTTAAATTTTAAAATTTTCATTGAACATTGATGGCAAAATTATATATATTCATAAAAAGAAAAAAATATTTACTAAGAGAAGTTAGAACATATTAAAATAACTTAAAGATAAAAATGATAAGTTTAATTTACTTAGCAGAAATCTCCCTAAATAATATTAGAATAATTTAAGGGACAAAATGTTTTTAATGTTTATGTGATCTATTAGATTCCTGTCGATTGAATTAAAAACCAGAACCAATTGACATAATCAACTTAGCAACAGATTTTGCTTCTAAGTATAAATTAGAAAAAATTGAGACTTAAAAGATGGGAATTGTAAGATTGTAATAAATTTGACTAACGATTAGATCCAAAGATTTAAGGAATAAATTAACTTTATCTAGAATTTGAACAAATAGAAAGATGAACAGAAACAACGAGTGAGGGAAGAAACAATGAAATTAATCTTTATTACTATTATATCCTTTGCAGAAACTAAACATTTCTTTTTTTTTGAAATTTCAGAATGAATTTTGGCCAAGTTTAATGTTTTTAATTTAAGTCTAAATTCTGCTTCTAGCCTTTGATATTTTTGATAACTTTTAGCAAATATTAGAATAACTTGCATTAATTATAAATCAATTCCTAAATGTTATTGGCTGAAGTTATCTCTTCTTTAAAGTTCTATTCATTATCCCCTCCATGATAGAATAATTCTCTGAATCCTTCTTTACTCTTTACTTTACTTTCTATTCATGATTAAATCTATATAGTCATATTGTAGCTCACTAATAGGTATTCCTAATTAATATTTTCTAATCTAAGATGTTAAACTTATTTTGATTTTTTTATTAATTAGTAGGAACTGCAGATTAAGTATATTTTACATAGACATATCGGTTTATATTGAGGGATTTTTCTTGGTATCCATTTTAACCTAGTGCCTTTGTTTTTAATTATCCTTAAATCTTTTTGAGATGCTCTTGAGCTGAAGATTTTAGATTATGAGAATTCTTTCGATATTATTTTATTTCATTGGGTATTCTAGTATATTTGTAATATACTGCTTTCAAAATATTATGAGGGAGAAAAATTCCAGATATCACTCTAAGCACTATTAACTCAAATTAATTTTCTATTATTTCGAGAGTTTATAATGTATATTGTTATGCTCGAAAAAAAGACTAAATCTTAAGCATAAGATTTTACATCAAACCAACCTTGAAAATTTAGAAAAATTATCAATAATTCATCCAAGTAGATGTTAAATAAGAAAGGATAAATTGGAGAACCTTATATTACTATGATGTTATTTTGTCTACATGATCTATGAAATTAAATTAAGAATATAAGACTTCATCGGATTTTGCAATTCATTAATAAAACCATTATTACAAAAATAAGAAATTAAATAAAATAATTTCATTTTATTATTATGAAAAAAAAAAAGTGATCAAATTCATATGATGATATTAGCGGCTGAAAGATTATTTTGACATTTTTTATTGTCATGTATCTAATATCCTAGAAAATAGAAGGAAAAAATGAGGAGAAGTAGTAGGAGGAAATTGATCCTCCTCCTGTTCGTCTACTCATTCTACTCATCTTCTTCCTTCTACGAGATAGAGGAGGTAGGACTAGCCTTCTTAAAATTCAAAATTTTAGAGGAAGGAGAAAATCATAAAAAGGAGGACCAAATCTCATTATTAAATATAGAATTAACTGGAAATAAAAAATAATCCATTTACAAAAAGTATTTTTCATATTATTTAAATTAATTTTTTAATATACTATTTTTATTTTAAATTAATATGCTATAAATGTAATTTTTTTCGAGTGAACAAATCTCACAAAACTGCTATTTTAATTAAATTTATCATTGCTAGTATAATAAAAGTTTTTTGTATCCATAAACACTGCTGATGAATATAGATGTAAAAACTTATTAATTAGATTCTTTATAAATAATAGAAAATGTGCCTAGATTGTTGAGAGTGCTTCAGTAATTCAAAGGAATAGTTTAAAAAGACATACTTCATTAACAATTATTTTGATAATTATCGGTAGATCATCTATTAGCAGGGTAAATTCTTTTTTATTGATGGAATAAAAGTAATTCTAATTATATTCTATTAACATAGTACTTTCTTTAATTATGATTGTCTAGTTTTTCTATTTTAACAAAATAAATTTTTATTTTTACAAAATTTGTGATATCATTATATGTAAAAATGCTAACTTTCGTTTTATATCTAATTTATTGATACAAAGCTTTAGATTTTCCAAATTCATTAATAACCATAATTTTTAGATCAACTTTTAGTAGAAGAAATTTGCCTTAAATCCAATTAGCAATACAAGATTTGTTTTCAATACCAAACCAGAAACTTAAAAAAGTTATATTCAAAAAATATTTCTTAAAGACTGATTGATAAAGGAGAGAAATTAAAAGTAAGATGTATGACTTTTCAAATACTTGAAAGAGAATGTATCAGAAATATAAAAATTTCAAATTTTTAAAGATGATTCATAAAAAAGTAAGGAAGTTTATAATTCACTAAGATTGTTGATTTCACTAAAGCTTCTACTATCAAAAACGTACTTCCTATCAACTTCTTGTCCTTTAGAATAGTATAACTAAATTAAATCGATATTTTTTGAATTAATTCCTATATTTTTTAATGCGAATCCAAATCCTAATCGAATTTGCTTACTCAATAAATTTACTCCTTTAAATTAGGATTTTGGATGTATAACTTAGAATGTATAAGATGAATAAAATTCATTAAATATAGTACTTATTAATTTTTGATATTTTTTTCAAATGGTTTGTAGGAATTTTATTTAAATATATTGATATAATTATCAATTCTATTTAATTATATAAAGATCTAAAAATTAATAATCTTATATTATCTAATTTGAATAGTAAGGATTAACAATTCCTATAAAGAATGATTATACTGTAAATGATATGTTTCTGATGTTTGAAATTAGTCATTTTCTTTCTAATTATTTAAGTATACAGCAAAATAGCAAGTATATTAGAACTCTTTTAGTTAATTAAGTGATTGTATTAAAAACTATATACAAAGAATTCATTATAATATTAATTACAAATTTATTTTAATTTCTCTAATATAAATATATTCTAAGTTTTTAATTTATGGTAACTATTAGATTTTAAATATTTTTATTATTATTTCTGCAAATTTCTGCAGAAAAGACTTTGGATCCTTGTGAAAATTATTTATGCATATTAGAATTGCTTTAAATTAAATCTAAGAAAGCTTTAGCAATAGATCCATAAAAATGCATATTAAAATTGTGGGTGAATTTTTAATTAAAATCTGTAATTAATATTATAAAACTAGAATGCCTATTTAAAATTTCACAGCCTAGGGAAGAAATTCAGAAAAAATTAGATAAGCATGGAATAACAAGGGTTAATTTAGATTTAATATTGGGTTTTAACATAAATAAAAATTAAAAAATGAAAGAAATGATGCCTAAATAGCGGTGTTAGATATTTATTTTATTCATTAACAATCTTTTGTATGAAAGATCAATTTTGAATAAATAGCAAGGATTGAAATTATCAATCAGAATCAATATTGGTCTTATTACAAACTCAAATTCTAGAATAGTTTAAATTTCTAACACCTTCTATTTTTCAAATGATTATATATTTCAGAATTAAATTTAATTTTATTACTATATTTTTTATTTTATAATTATCAGACTCAAAACTAAATATCTCTTTTTGAAAATATCTATGAAGCAAATAATTTTAAGATAACATTAACTTTATTGAAATAGTAACTAAATTATTTCATTATATTAACATATTTAATTATTTTAAACAAAAATTATTTATATTGGATCAAATATTATTTGTTTACCATTAAATGTTATCTAAATGATATGATGTTTTCTTATTAGAAAAAAACTTATTTAATATAGATAAAAATAATAAATACTTACAACTATGCTCTTAATGCCTATTATTTTAAGATATTTATAGGACTTGACGTACACTTAAACTAAATCCGATCTTTAACTTTTGCTGAAATTTTCAAATTAAATCATCTTGGATGATGCTAATATGACAACATAAAATATAGTATCTGTCAAAATAAGTGATTGTAACTAAAATGAAAGTTTTTTTATGTTTTTTTTATTAAAATGCTTTGTATTTTCCTTCTTAGTGACATTTAAACATTGATATTTCCCTCTTGGATAAATTAGAATCCTATTATCTCCACAACTTTGGTTAAAAATTACCTAAATGAATTTCTGGGATTCGCTTTGGTTTTTTTAAAAACTTATTTTTTTATCTGAAATCTGAAAGCAATTTTCCATATTGAAAATAAGTTTAGATTTCTGTAATCAATATTAATTCTATATTTTTAAGTGATTATCCATCAAACATGTAAAATAAATTAAACTTTTATAATAAATATACTTGAATAAATGTAAAGATGTAGAGCAACCATTAACTTTAAATATTCATATAATAGTAAAATGTAATGTATTAAAATTTTTAATTCTAAGGAGGTGTTTTTTCCAAAAAAACAAAAAAATTCAATCCATTCCTTATTTTCAAATTTATATTTACCTTCTAAAATTACTTTACTTTAAACCAATATTAAATATTTTTATTAAATTTATTGTCCTACAATTTCAAATAATATAATTTTGACTTAATTCTATATATACATTCAATTTTCTAATGGAATTATACTGTATATAAGAAATTAATTCATCAAAATCAACTTTGATCGTCTTTTTCAAGATATTTAGAAAGAATAAGAATTCATTTAAAAATTTATAAAAATAATTATCTATTATTTTTATATTCAATTAAATAATGATGAAAATAGAACACTTTTTTTAAAAAAGAAGCTTCACTTAAAAAATAGATTTAAGTGTTATTGTTAAATTCAAAACTCTAATTGTTGTTAATCATAAATTTGAAATAGTGTTTAATTTAAAGAACATGATTAGAACTATTTTATTTTTCAATTAATAAATTAAACCAACCTCAATACCGCATGACTATGCTTATTATTCAAATATTTCATTTAGAAGAATTCAATTGTAATTTAGGATATATCAATATTAATTCTTGCCTGGTGTATTTCATGTTTGCGGAGTAAAGTAAAAAGATATTTTAAAAAAAGCTTCATTATTGCTTCCTAATTATCCTTTTAGTGCCTATTGTAAATATTTGAAGCATCGATTGCAATAATTTTTTGTTTAAAATCTATTTTCTGATGTTTGAATACAGGTTTATAACACACTGTTTATATATGACATATGATAATAGAACACATTTCTAAAATCAATCAGAATTACTATTCTTATATATATCTTTTTTGACAATCAATTTAGAGTCGAAGAAAAAAATCTAAGTAGTAAATCTAAACTCTTTATCCTGTTAATTTCTTTTTTATAACTATAGGCTTTCAGTTAATTTATTATTAATTCTTAAAATTATTCATTTTTATGTATTTAAACCTCCAAAGTTTTGCATTAATTGATTGTGTGTACAAATTTTAAATTTTGGCTATTGAATTCTAAAAGTCATTTTGTATCAAATTATGATTTTGAACTACTATTTCTTTAATTTTGTATTGATGATGAAAATTGAACAGGATAATTATAAATTATTAAAATTAAGAAATACTTTCTATGTTTCAATTATATAAATTTTTTTTTTTTATGATGTAAATATTCACTCTTTATATATATAAATAAAAGGGTTGAATCAAAAGCTAAAGAATTAATCTACCAATATAATTTGTTCAATTTGGATGATTTCAAACTATACTAGTTTTAAAGTTATGGCATAATGAATATAGTTTAGTAACACTTCTTTCTTTTAATTGGTAGAAAAATTTACATTTTATAAGAAGCAATATAAATTATAATTTCTTGAAATTACAAATAAATTATTAAAGAGTTTTAAGATGATTTTCCAATACAATCTAAATTTCAAAAGACAGTCTACGTTAAACTTATTCATTTTTAATAGATTTTAAATATATTTTAAAGAGCTTGATAGAATAAGGTTTATCATAAAAATGTATTCTCAAATTTTTATTAATTTTCACATAAATATTGTATATTCCTAAATTAAGATAAATGGTCTCTATCATCAATCTTATTTAAGTAAATAAAGATTAAAGGGGAGAGTTTAAATAAAATATTAAAAATCAACAAGAAAGTTTAAGTTTAATAATTATGGTTTCTTTAAAGGTTTTAAACTTAAATATATATTATTTAAATTGAACAAGATTTATGATTAATATAGCACATTCATTCTCTTTAAAACTTTGCATAAAAGATTTATCTTTTATTAACAATTAAAGATTCAAAAATATCAAAAATTCACATCATCTTCCCTGTATATTGTTACTCATAATCTTTAAGATGATAGTATGGTTGTTGTAAATAATTTATTTTTAAATTCGCTGAATAAATTATTTCATAATTAGAACAATAAAAAAATATTAATATATGTATTTATTGAATATTTTAATATCATTTATTTACAAATAAATTTGATTTAATTTCTAATTAATTCTATTTTTTTTAATTAAAAGCGAATTCTATTATTGTTAACTTTTTTTAAATAATTAAAAATGATTTTCTGCAATCAAGAAGTCCTATAAGAAAATGAATAAGTCATGGACGGGTATCTTAAATCAAAAATAGATGCTTATTGTTTTGAAATAGAGTAAAATATCGAAGAATAGATCATAATTATATTTTAAGTCTTCTTTTAATAGAATTGAAAATTTTCTAGATTAAATAATTGATGATACCTAAAAGTCCTTGAATTAAAAATTCTAATAATCATAAAAATTGATTCCTCCTTCATTACAATTCTTAGACTTAGGAGATTGGTAATTTTATGATCGGCTGATTCATGAAATTATGCCATTAATGAAGGTTTCTATAGAAAATTATGTTAAAAGACTCAATTCTAATTATAAAATCCAAATTTAGAATTTAACTAAATTGAAAACAAGTAATTGAAGACCTAAAACTAAAATTATGATGTTCAATAAATTAATTAAACTTAGGCTCAAACATAATAATATATTGGACTAATTGATAAATTACAATAAATTGAACCAGATCATCTGGAGTTTATGTATGAAAAAGGTTATTCATTATTACTATTTTTAGCTAATATCTTAACTAAATTATAAGGGTTTTAAGAAGCCATATAAATATATCAAGATATAATTAAAATGAATCCAAAACATGATCTATCATATTAAAAAATAGGTATTGCTTTTGGTTAAAAAGTTAGCTGATATCTTAAGTTATTAGAAATAGTATTAATAATCAATAGAATATTATGATTAATGCATTTCAATAAATGTAAATAATTTAGACGCTTAATTTGGAAAAGGTTTAAATTGAAATTATTAATTTAGGTGAATGCTTAAGAAAAACTTACTAATATAAGGAAGCCTTATAATATTTTATCAAAGTTACTGAAAATGAGTCATCTAAACTAGATTATTACTTTGGCTATGGTTAAAAATATTTATAAACAATTCTTAGGAGATTGTCTATTATATTTGTATAAATATGATGAAGCACTAAAAAATTATGATAAATGTTTAAAAATAGATGATAATCATGATGATTCATAAGCAGGGAAAGGTATAAAATAAGAATAATGATATTAGGAACATGCTTATTGTTATTGGGAAAAAAAGATGTAGCATTAGAGTATATAAATTAATCATTAAAAATAAAATAAAATTCTTGTTTATCTTAAATAAAGCCCTAAAAATATTCTATAATATTTTACCTAATCCATTAAGTCCTATTTTATAAATATATTGTGGCGATAAAAGAGTAGTTAGATTATGAAGAAGCATTAGAATAGTTTGAAAATGTTTTGATTATCGATCCTGAATATTTATATTCTTTATATAACAAAGGGAATTTTATATTATATTTCTATAGGTAATTGCTTATATTTTATGGGTCAATATGAATAAGCCATTGAATGGTATGACAAAGCTTTAGTGATTGATACTTAGTGTATATATTCTTTAAATAGCAAAGGTTATTTTATATTCAATATGTATAGGTTATTGCTTATATTGAATGGGTCAATATGAATAAGGCATTTAATAGTTTGACAAAGTCTTGGTGATCGATCCTTAAAATTTAGTTTCATTAAAAGGCAAATGTAAATCAATTTTAAATTATTTTAAGAAATGGATTTTTTTGGTTTAAATAATTGAACAAATAATACCCTATTGTATTTTATCATATTATAATTTTTTTTCAATTATATTAAAATGTATACATTTTATTCTATTTTTTTTTTAATTTTAATTCTTCTAATCTAATTTACCTTATTTACACTGATTACTTACTTAACAGACTTATGATCAGCATGGTTAGATATATTTCTCACTACTCAATTATATGATTTAATCGATTCTTTAAGACCATTATATTTAAAACATTTATATTAATTTACTATAAAAATATGAATTCTTTAATTAATTTATTTATTCCATAAACAATTTATATATAGGTATTTTTTATATTTTTATAAAAAATCAGTTTTTATTTTACACTAATTCATTAATGTTCCCTAATTATTTTTTAAATTTATTCACTTCTTAACAATCTTTATACTAAAATTTAAATACTAATTATTGTAAGCAAGAGTTTCCAAACTATACATTGAAATAGTGAAGATAATATCAATTTTGAAAATAAACTCAATTCCAATTTCAACCTTAAATTTCATATTGATATTAAAAAAAGTCAAAATGGATAAATAATCATCAAAATTAAATCATCAAAATATCATAGAATTCAGTAATTTATTGCAAATTTTAGGAACATAACAATTTAATGATATGAATGAACTCAAGTCTTCTCTAAATCATCTTTTGTTATAAGATATAATCATTTTATTTGGGCTCACACTGATCTTAATAGTAGGAATTATATAGAATAGAATCTATTCATAAAATTTTACTTAAACATATAATTAAACAGTAAAATAAATTATATTTTTAAAGAAGTTTTATTAACTACAAAATTAGTTTATGGGTTTTATGATGGTGATTTTACAAATAAATATTAATAGAATACAAAATTTTACAAAAGAATAGGAAACCTATAGGATATAATAAATAATTGATGCATTTATTATATACTTCTAATAAAAGTTCACTTAAACACTATTTTAATGCAAAGGTATAAATCAAACCTTAATAAATTGTTGTCAAGAAAAATATTTAAAATTTATGATCAAATATAAAATCCTTCTATCAAATTACTTCAGAATAAATAAATGAAAGTTATCATTATTTATTTTAGATTAAACAGTGTGAAATTTAATTTTTTTATTGTATTATTAAATTTATTTAAACTCAAACAAGAAAATCTCTTCAAAGTCTAGCCTTAATAATTGATTATGAAATAATACTTATTTACCCTTTCTAAATGAAATTTAGAATCTAAAACCTTATTATTAAATTTTGAGAAAGCTCTTAAAAATATTGAAAAAATCAAAAGTTAAAGAAAAAATATCTTTGAGAATGGTTTCATACTTAGCATCAAATAGCTTAAAAGGATTATTAGATTGGAAATGCAAATGAATGGATCAAATAATTTATTTATATGGACAATCGAACAATAATACAGTGTTTTCGATGATTAGAACGAATTAATTGATTAATTCAATTGGTAATCTAAAATTGATCAAATTGATTAATCATGGATTATTAATTTATTTAGATCATATAGCAATTATTGAAATGTGATTAGTTTTCTTTATAACCCTTAAAATTAAGTAATTATTTAATAGATGTTATGATAACTTTACCCAAAAAAAAAATTTTAGCTGTTATTTTCATCTGATGATATCAATCAACCTCATTTTTTTCTTACTCTTATAATTATAGTATTAATTAATTATGTCTACATAATAATGATGCCTTGCAAAATATAAAGTAATGTCCTATTTTTTAACATTGATTCCAAAAATTTAATGAAGTATTAGAAAAACAACAATGTTTGTTAAAATTCATAACAAATTCTATATGATCTTTTAATTTTTTTTTGCTTTACTGATATCTTTGGATGATGCATATTCATCTTACTATAATGATGAAATTTAAATTCGAAAAAAAAGTAAATAGAGGAAATTATAATTTGTTTTAATATACAAGTGATTTAATGAAATGATAACAGTATAAATAAAGCAAAGTAATTAGTAGTTTTATTTTTAAAAAGTTTATCAGAAGATTGAGTTTTAGTCTTACATTTTTGGAGCAAATCCCAAAAAATTTTTGATAAACCATAATATTATAATCAAGATTACTTTCATAAACTTGCTGCTCTTAAATTTATAAACTATTACAAGATTTTTTAATAACTATAAATTAATAAGATTAAGGTTAGTTAAGAGATATAAAATAGTAAATATATCATTATTTTGCTCCAAAAAGCTTATATTAGAGAAAAATGTCTTTGGAAGAAGAGTTTAAATAATTAATAAAAGAAAAAATCATTATCATAACCAAATAAAGATAAAACATTAGTTTAATTTTAGTTTATCTATCTAGTTAATCTATTATTTATGAATCAGAAATTAATTTTGTTGTGAAAATGATAACTATGAATGTGATGAGATGGTTTTAAGCCACTAAAATTATAATTGTATGAGTAAATGAATGAAGAAGATATTTTAAATATAAATAATAAAATTCAGAATTTTAATGAAATTGGGTAGAAAGATAATGAGAATAAATTCCTGTAATTTAAAAAACTACAAATAAAGTGCTAATGGTTCATTGTAATTAATTTAATAAAAAGCAATATTATACTTAAAGAAAAAAGGATTATTAATTTTAAGATAAAACAGAATATTATAAATTATCAACAATTATTTGAAGTCTCCAATTCAAATAACAAATGAAATATAATTATAAAGAATTTGAATTCAAATACTAATACTAAAGAATTGTGATTAATATAATTTTCAAATCAATTTTTTGTTAATAAGCCTATTCTCTATAATATTAAATAAACTTGTAAAAGAAATATATTTATAATTATTATTTTAAAATAGGGTTATATATAGCTCAAATTACCTTAATACAAGAGATTTCCTTTAACTAAGTACCATCCTTATATTAAACAACTTAGCAATCTGTATGATTCCTAATATAAATAAATTAGAGTAATGTAAATACAGAAAAATTTTCTAATAAGATTCTTACAACTCTAGATCAACCCACTTCCCGTTTTTCTAAACTTAATTATAAATTCCTCCAGCACTTTAAAATTCAGATACTAATAAATTAAAAATATCTAAACTATTTATTAAAATAATTTCTCTTTTTCATATCCCATAATCCATATTTAATACCATTTTTATATTCCCCTGCATATATAATTTAGATATCACTAGGTTAATTATTTTGATAATTCATTACTTTCTGTAATTCTCAAATGATTCAATCCATTTTCCTTTCTTCTTTCCTTCATTATCATATTCTCCATCAAACCTAAAATCAATTATATATAATTACATTTTAATAAAATCATTAGCTTGATTATCTCTAAATTAAGTATTCCACCTTCCATATTTTTTTCCATTCCTATATTCACCATAAGATCTTATTTAACAATAACTATTGATTGTAAAATAGCTTATACTTGCCAAAATTTTCAGATAATTCAAAACATATACCCTGCTATTATGCATTTTCGTCATAAATACCTCCTCCACTAGAATATACATATGAATTGGTTACATGATTTCAAATTTGTTAAAAGAAATAGGATATTTTGAATTCAAAATATCCCATCTTCCAATTTTTTTTCCTTATTAATAATTGCCAAATTAAAGAAGTTAACAATTATACTGATTAGAACTAATGAAGTTTGTGAAATTTTCATGTTATTCTGTCCATCTTCCAACTTTTTATTCTTCTAATCCATAAAAGCCCCCACCACTTCATAATTTAATATATATAAATTTTACATAATCTATTGCTTTTTAGGAGTAGTATGCAAAATTTCCCACAGCCCAAATTTTTTTCCTTCTCTATATTTTCCTTTATAGGTTAATTGGCAACAACTAATCATCAAAATATTTAATACTGAGAAAATCTTTAATAAATCTCAACCCATTTTCCTATCTTCATTCCTTTTGAATTATAATTGCCTTCCCCACTTCATTAAATTATATTTATACATGATTTTTTCTTAATATATAGTTACCCATCTTCCAATTTTTAGTCCATCTTTATAAACACCTTTATAGGTAACTTTAGATATACTAAAATTCTATAGTCTAATAAGATTTACTTGCTGAAATTTTCAGATAAATCAACCCACAATCCAATTTTAAACTCATCATCTTATATATCCTCCAGCATTTAATTTTTTTTACTCCCAAATAGGACACCATTTTGCTATATTCTATTACTAATGTTCAATTCCCCATTTTAAGCTTGATAATTAATCGAAAATAGTAATAATATCAGAAATTTTAGTATTTTTCTCTCTGAAATAACCAAATTTTTACTTTCTTAATAATCCACCATCTTATCTATATATAAAATCCCCATTCTTGCACTCTACATAATATTTCACTTTTGTAAAATGTGAAACTTTAGAAGAATTTTCAACTGATTTGAGTCCAATAATTAAATATATTCCTTCTTTATATGGCTGCCTATAATTATAATTAATTATATTTAGTTTTTCTTCTGTCATTCAATAAAAAGTTCTGATTGATAAAAATATAGATATTATTATTAAAATATTTGATTAATACTTAGCTGATTCGGGTAGAAATTATCAGAAATTTTAAGTATTAAAATTCAAAGTTAAATTAATTAATATAATGATAATTTGAAATTAATCATCAAAATTCTAATTTTAACCATAGGTATTTATTTATAGTTAAGCTTTCTATCCTTCTTATTGAATTTTTAGACCAAAAAATCAATTCATCTATACTGAGTTTTTGAATTTGTTGTCTATTGAAAAATTCCCTCAATATCTTTCTAATAAAGTGTATTTGATTCATCGTTTACTACATAAATAACATAAACTCTTAGATGAATGTTACATATTTTGAGAATATATAATAGAAGCAAAATATAATAAATTGGCAAAACAATAAGATAATTTCTAATATTCTAATTAAAATAAAAGTTCATGAAATGAATAGAAATAATTTTTTATGCTAAATAGAATTATATGCCAAAAAGATATAATCATGAAGATAATTTCTTTATTTTAAATTTACATCTTCACATAGCTAAAGATAACCAATTCCTAATATGTAGTAAAACTCTTAGAGCTTATTAGTAAAATTAAAGATTGATCTAAGAAGTTGGATTTGAGAATAAAAAAATTAGAATTCTTCTTTCAAGAGAGCTAATTATTTAAGATGCCAATTGATAGTTACTTTTTTACCTTCAAACTTAAATTTCATCTTTTTAGAACATAGCAAGATTCATTATTCATATGATACTTTATTTATTTTAAAGGACTTGGATTAAAGGATTTATCTTCTCTTGATTCTAGCAGTGTAATTCAAATCATTATCCCTTTTCAACTAATAAACTCAAGATGATGGTTTCATTATCATTACAACCAAAGAAATTATAAGAAGAATTATTTAAGTAACTAATAAATTTATTTACTATAAATTATTTAGATTATAATGATTACTGTATTTGAGGAATTTTGATAAATTCTTAAGATTTTTGGAATTTTGGGCAAAATCCATATTTTAATGGTAAAGTTTTTATTCTGCAAATTTATTTTGTGAATAGCTACTCAAAAAAAAGTACTTATTGCAATAGATTAACTTCAAGAATTAATAGGACATTCTTTTAAATGGCTTAAAATTGTCTTTAAAGACTTTATATAATTTTAATTGCCTAACCTTGAGTTAAGCTTTGCACGACTTGAGTCCTAAATTTAAAACCAGTAATAAAAATAATATTGAACATTTATTACAAATTTTAAACTTTAGACTTGAATAACTAAACATAATAATGTAAATTATACTGTTAAAATCTTGTTGTTTCTTGTAAACAACTTAAAATATTTTAATTGAAATAATATCTATAATATCATAAGTTTCTGTTCATATGATATATTAATCATTTAGTGAAAACAATAATTTTATTTTTAAATTAAATTAGAGGTTTTGATAGGATAAGAACATTTGTTTTTTAATTTCATAAATCTACTCCATAAGTGAAGTTGGCTGTGCAATGATCGACAATACAGTTAATTAATGCATACTAGTAATGAAAGGAGAGAGATAGCATCTAATGAGTGATGATAACTTTCTGTAATGATTTCAGTATCTGCTATTTTTTAGTCATTCAGTTTTTTAATGATAATTATTATAAATCAAAAATACGTTTGTTTAAAATGTGAAAATCTTAAGGAGTTGATTATATGAGATTTAATAAGTGCTTTGATTTAGAAATATCAATAATAATATGTGAATAATGAAATAGATAAAATAAATATGCATTGATTAAGTCAAATAATGTCATATATTTTTCATAAAAAATAATCTATAAGATAAAGAATTAATAAATAAAATAGAATAACTTTTCAGATATATTTTTTCGAAAATCCTAAATTTATTGATAGATAAGTTTTTTATATATTAATTTAGACCTCTAACCTAATGATTTAAGTCAACAAATTTCTACATTATAATTTTCTGTTATTACTAATTCTTGGAGAGAAAATTTATTCAAAAATAAGTGATTTATAAGGATTTATTAAAAATTTTATTTTTAATATGAAAATCGAAAGCTTTTTCTTAAGGGCAAGATATCAATTTTATTGAGATTTATATCAGGTATTATTCATTAAATAATAATTATGAGTTACAAAATTTTATTTATCTGATTCCTTTATATTTCTTTATATCTCTTTTTGTAAAAGGAAATAGAAAATTTTAAAATTGAAGTGAATTTTTTTTATTTCAAAAATATGTGTTTGTATAATCGAATTAATGTTCTACATTATAAACAAAATTAATACAATTATAAAAAATATTATTTTAGTATTAGATTGACTATCATACTTGATCTTTTGATACTATTAAATAAATCCTAAGTTAAATTTTAGAAAAATATTCACCCCTATCAATCAATTAATTGAATATAAGTATTTAAGATTAAGAATTTTATATAAATTTAATATATATTTAAAAAAAGATTATAAATGGTTAATCAATTACAGTTATCATAACATTAAAACAGAGAAATAAGATTTATAATATAGAAGTGGATCCTTCATAAAAGGTCAAAGAATTAGTAATTGAATTTTATGAAATACTTAAACCCCAAGGAACAGATAAGTTAGTATTATGGTACAATAACAATCCACTTAAAGAAGATTAAACATTTACAGAGTAAGGGATTAGAAAAGGGTCAGAAATGAATCTTTTTATTGAAACCCATGGTGGCCATTGATTTATCAATATAATCATAATTATTGTATTGTTTATATCTTTTATCGTACAACAAAACAAGCCAAAAAGTTTTCATCAGTCTGTTCTAAATACATTAAACAAATTTGGAATAATTCAGGAAGTACCTTAATAACTTAATTCCATTCTAAATCAAATACATAAGTATAATTATTCTACTTTTTGGAATCTACTTAAATTCAGTCACTAAGAAATTTAAGTAAACTTAGAAGAATGGAATGTTAAAAAAAAGAAAATTTTAGAATACTTAAATAAAGGATTATTAATTAAATTTAATCTTAAACCACATAGGTTTTTTTAGCCTACAACAATTAGATGATTAGGTCTATAATTAATTAAATGTAATTATTTTGATCAAACACTTATTAAAATTAATAAAATTATGATTAGGAAAATGATGAAGTTTTATTATTAAAAGGAAGAATTTACTTTAAAAAAGTAAATTGCAATTATAATCTGATAGGAAATTTTATAGAATCCTAAATTTATATTGAATAAGCTACTTGAATGTCAACATCACATTAATTAAGTACCATAGCTATTTATTATATAATAAAATCTAAAATACGTGTCAACTCTAAATTTATCAATTATCATACCTCTATATTCTCTTGTTCATTCAAATTTATGTCATTAGGTTATTTATGGTAAGGACTTAGCAAAATAAGCAATTAATGGTTATCTATTTCGTATAATGTATAGAGTGCAATTAATTAAATATAATATTTTTTTGTTTTTTAAATTAAGTGATGAGTTATTCAAATAAAGAGAATATATTGATACCTACATATTGATAGATTAAGATAAGCTATTATGTTGATTTTTTTTATCCTAATAAACATTCAATTTAAAATGAAGAAAATTAAATTTGGGCTATACTTGTATAATTTTTATGACTTTAATTTAGATGTAGAGCAATAACATCATAAAACTAAATGAGATGAGATAAAATCAATTAATTTAAACAACAAATAGATGATTTCTGATTGGGATTATTTGAATTATATTGAGAATATAGAGAATTTGTTAATATATTTTAATGATTTATACATAATTTTTATATTTTATCTTTAAGATCTGATGAAATACAATTGTTATTAATTTGATTTCAATTCATTTATATCTTATTCATTAAATAATTCGCTAATCTCATTTTATTTAATCTTATGAATTGCTATTCTTTTGATTACTTTTTTCTAAATGAAACATATTTTAATTTTCTCTTTATTATCATTTAATAAATCTAAGTTTTTTAACAGATTTTATTAGTAGATATATTTACAAATCCAATATGTATTTAATAATTTTTCAAAATGAATTATTTTTTTTGATAAATACTTCTTTATGTATTTTTTATCTATTTAATTTTTGTTCATTTATTTTTATTTATCAAAATTCAATGCATTTTCTAATATTCTAATAGATTAAATTTCTTTTAATAATATATTATTAAATAACTCAATTCATTTGTAATACAATTAAATTTTTGAATTTAAATTTAATTCCTAACCTAAATTATTGATTATAAATGTAAGAATCATCTTTATTTAACAACAATAATATTTTATTAATTAAATGTCTTAATTGACATATAGAAATCATTATAAAATATTTTTTTATTTAATTCTTAATCAGGTTCTTTAGATTATAATATTTCTTATAAGTATTTAACAAAAGTATTTAAGTAGAACAATTACTTAATAATCTAGTAATTGCATTTATAGATTTAATCCCTTATTCACTAAATAACATAACCATATTCGATTCTACTTAATTATTGGTACCTTCTTTTTTCTAACCAAAGTCCATAAAATAAAATCATATAGCATTTTCATTCCACCTTCCTGTTATTTTAATAAAAACTCTTAAAATATTTAAAGGAATGCCAATATATGTCCAGATTCCATTTCTTTATTATACTGTAATATGTATAATTATTTGTTATAAAGATAACTATTCAATTTTCAGGGTTCTCAGAAGTTCATTCCAATTTTATATTTCTAAGCTATGTAAAGCATTATATTCAATGAATGACTTATATTTTTATAAGCGTTATTCATTTCAAATAGACTAAAGCAATTTTATATACTTTGTTTGGCATACATTGTGGTATCGAGTAGATTTAAACCATTATCTGCATCAGAAAATTTTAACATTACTTTTTTCCAAATTTTAAATTTGAAAATTGATGGCTTTGATGAACTCATCTAAACTGTAACATTATTTTGCTAAAAAGTTCTTGAAGTTTATAATATTATCCAACCATTTACTTGTATTTGAATGTTAACAATATAACTATTTACTTAAAACATTTTACAATTTAAATAAAGTATTTTAATCGGCTAAGGATTTTTTAAATTCATTCAATCTCAGCTTCTTGAATTATTCTAAACAGCATTGAAGACCTCATATTTAAATTACGTTTTAATTATTCTTAAAATAAATTATATCCAAATATCAATCAAATTAAAATGTATATTATTTTACTTTTTAAATTATTTTAATAATAAATTACATACAAATCTCAATAAACTTAAAATATACATCATTTAACTTGAAATATAATTTATAAAATTTCAATATACATGATTTATCATTTAAATATATTATAATGATTTATAAACAAATATCAATCAAATTAAATATGCATTATTTTATATTTTATCATAAATTATAGAAATAAAAATAATATTATTTAGTTATATAATATTCTAAACTTATTTAATTTCTTCAAATAAAACCAATTCTTCTTTATATTTTCCAGGTGTATCTACTAGAATTAATTCTACTCGTTCTTTCTTGAACTTTATTATTCCTTCATAGGTAACCTAGATTGGATCTGATTAGGTATATGAACTTATGTATACTATATACACCAAAATTACCCATAGAATGGAATTCTTAGCTTCATAGCATTTTATTTTGTTTAATCTAAAGATAATGTATCTGCACAAACAATTCCTACTTTCCAACCTCTTTTTTAATAATAATAACCATATTTAAAGCAAGTAGTAGTTTTTCCAGATCCTTATAAACCTATGAACATTATGACATTAGTTTTTCCTTTTATTACATATAAACTTTTACCTTTCTTCGGTTAATATGGTTCAATATCATTTTAGAAAATTTCAGTCAATTGCTCAATAATACATTTTAAGATGAATTATTGAAGATTAATTAATTCTGTTCCATGTAATTTAAATTCATATTTGATATTTTCTCTCATTTTTAATACAATTTTAGCATTAACGTCAGCCTTTAGCAATATCATAGAAATATCATCTAAAATCTAATCTACAAAAGCTTTATTAATTTCTTATTTATTATTTGATAACCTTTTAAGAATTTCCTTTATCTATTGTCCTAATTCTGTTAAAACCATTCTCAATTACAAAAAATTTAATCTATATTCTCTAAAAAAATATAAAATACAAACACTTATTAAAATATTAAATTATTTATTGCTTTGACACGTATTTATAAATATTTTATTTGTCAATCTCAAACAATTTAATTGCTTTTTTTATTTTCATTATTTTTTATCATAATTTTTAATAGATAAAGTTTTTGGGAGTCTAATATTTTTAATGTAATTGAAAACCAATATATTGAGATTATATTTATTAGTGAAAATACTGAAAATGACTCAAAAAGCTGATTATAATATATTTTAATTTGAACAGTTTTGATATATTATCTATTTTTCCCTTTTTTTGAAATTCTATTTATGATATAGAGGTAATACACTCTTTTTAAGATCCTTTTGTTTTTATTTTGAAGAATTAATATAATTAAGGACAAAAATGTGATAAATGGATAGACTTGCAAAATGAATTTAATAGCATTAAATAGGTAACATATAATGGTAAATATAATTTGAATGGCAAGAAGGTAGGTAAATGGGATAGTATTTATTGTAAATAAAATGGAAAGGAATGGAATATAAATTAATGTAAATATTAAAAAGTATAATATTTGTAGGATATACGTTTGTGTGTGTATTTTAGAGTGGAGGATCGTATGATTATAGAAAAAGATTGGAAGTAATTTGGGTAGAAATGAATAAAATGAGAAAAAAACGCGAACAAGACAATTGGAATTTATGAAAAAAATAAAATATGATTACATCAACTAAAATTAATAATACATTTTAAGTTTTAATTTAATTATTTATTTTGCTGTTGAAGCATTCTTCTATGAAATAAAATTGTGTGCTTAAAACAAAATCTTCGTGTTTTGCTGATTTTAACAATTAAATGATATTATGACTTTCTACCTTTTTTTAGTGATTATATTTGCTTGGTATTTTAAATTCTATTAAACATCCTATAGTTAATTTGACGAATTAAAATCAAATTAATTGCCTTTTACCAAATCATTCTTCTCTTATGCATATGTTCTACCAATATTCTAATATTTATATCTGAAGGTTTAAAGAGACACTAGAGTTTTTGAGAAGATTAACTAGTCTAATAATCTCTGTTTATAATAAATAATTTTATGTAGAATCAACTAATTGATTATTTATTTTAACTTCAAAAGTTGATAGATAAGTCTAAAAAGAAAATTAAAGAAAAAACAAAAATTAATTAGAATTGGATATTAAGGAATGCCTACATTTAGGAGTTATTTAAATTATTTCTAATCCATTGATTCTAATAATAGCTCAATTGTTAGATTCTAATAGAATTATAATTATTTTGATTATAAAAAAATTTGGATATTAATTCACAGTATTAGGTTTGGATATAACCTACCTTTATGGAATTGCTTCATTCAAATTACCCAACAATTGCTTATGTTGCTTTAAATTTCATGGTTAAACCTGAAAAAATATTAGTCCGATGAAAAATGAAAAATAATTTAATATTATGAATCAGGTACCCCTTACTTAACATCTAGCTAAATAAGATTTCCATTAGAGATAGAAAACAACATAGAAACTATTTAATGCATAGGTACTAAAAATTTAGGGATTATATTTGAATCATCAAATTACATATGCCCCAATAATCTTAAAGATCTGCTTGGACTATAATTTAATTTTCAGTTGCCTCATTAGCTTAAACCTGAAATATCTTTTTTTTTTTGCTGATTACAATTATAATGAATTAAACAAATTAAGCTAATATTAAATTGATCATTATGATAAGCAAATAGATGAACTAATAAATATTTCCAAAATTTTGTTGAATAATATATGTAATTCTTTGTCGTTTTAATAAATCAAAATATTAAAAGATTAATAATGTTCCTTAAAAAAATAACTAGCTGATGGTAATTTTTAATAATTTTTAGAAAACACCCTATATTAAATAATTTATTAATTAAATGAGATCGAAAAAATAAAACAAACGCA